TACTGATATTGTGGAACAGAATTATTAGCTAGGAGCTAATGATCATGATGTATATAGAAGATAATCCCTAAAGGAACCTGGAAAAGCATTTGATGGGTAACTGGTTGACTTCAATCTGACCAAACAGATCAATTTATATAGATTAATTACAGGGAGTAAATATCATGCCTTGATAATTGGGTGAAAAAATTAAGAAGTTGCAGCAGGCTCCAGTTCCTTGTTTTAATAGCAAAAGCAAGAGATTTTTCAGACCAAAAGTGCTATCGGCCTCTAGCAAAACCAGAGAACACTTTTTATCCACCTGTTACTCTAAAACTGCTTTCAGATCCAGAGAAATTTATGGCAGAGTTGCCTTCTCAGCCACACTTGGAGTGAGCTGCCCCGTGAACTTTTTGATCTCGCCTTCTGTTGAACCTCTTCATGTAGCTGTTGCCTCTGCAAAGCAGCCCATCTCCTGGCCTCAGACGGCCTCTTACACGCTCTTGTAGAACTATAGGCAGTTGCCTTCTCCGGTGATACAGGTGACCCATTACAATGTACCTGCCGCCTGCAAAATAAGAACAGCTAAATCTCAGAAGTATCTCTGGAACATGAATATCTCCAAGGGTAATAAGTCACCCATTTCCGATTTAAGGCTCATGCCCATAGAAAGTAACATCCTCCAATCCCTCTCTCGGCAACATTTTTCCCCTTGACAATCCTAATGGTAGGAGTTAAGGTAAACAGCACAACTCTTTATTCTGAACTTCTCGGGGCCATATTATAAAACTGGGCTGCATAATCTGCATAATCACTGAAGACAATGGGACATTTCCATAAGGAACTTCATCTCCATACTAAGCCTGTCATTTCCCATTAATTACACAGCTTGTGTGTGTGTACTCTGAATGCAGAAGATTTCATTGGATGAAGAAGAGTTGGCTATCTTGATTGTAGTTCTTTGGGGACTGTTTCTGGAAAGATTTGTTATACTTCCCTGCCGCTGAGTCTAGTCTGGTTTGGATACATTTGTGAGAGTCCATTCCCCTTACTCGCTACCAGTTAAAGATGTTAAGGCTTACAGTAGAAAAGAAAAAGAAAGAGAAGAGAAGAGCTGTGTACTTGTTGTTCTTTGACCCAGATTTATGAATAACAAGTATTTTTTCCCTTCAACCTCCATCCTCTTTTCCTTTTGCATTGTTTCTTAAATTGCAAGCCTGTAAGAAAAGAAGGATTTGTCTGTTTACTGACCATTTGCATGTAGACACTGCATACTCTAATGAGTACATCCTTCCTTCTTTCTTTCTTTCTTTCTTTCTTTCTTTCTTTCTTTCTTTCTTTCTTTCTTTCTTTCTTTCTTTCTTTCTTTCTTTCTTTCCTTCCTTCCTTCCTTCCTTCCTTCCTCCCTCCCTCCCTCCCTCCCTCCCTCCCTCCTGCCCTTCCTGATGGCCCTGAGCTGGGCTATGTCAGACCTGGGAAGGTTGTTTGACTGGGGAATTTTGGGAGTTGAAGTCTATTTTCAAGTTGTGAAGGTTGAGAAACACAGATTTAGAAAATAAGTGCTTAAGTTCCCAATTCAATGTGATTTGAGAGGGATGAGAATTACAGAAAAGACCTTCCCAGTTGTGGTACTTACTGTGTGGAATACTATACGTTGCCCTTGGTAATCTGCTTGGCCCCTTGCACTTGACCTTTACAGAGCTTCAAAAGAGACATTGAGAGTTGGGCAGATAGAGAGACAGACAAAGACAAAGAGATATGATAGATGAGATGGATGGATAGGTAATGATAGATAGATACAGATAAAGATGATTGAGATAGATAGATAGATAGATAGATAGATAGATAGATAGATAGATAGATAGATAGGTAGGTAGGTAGGTAGGTACGTAGGTACGTAGGTACGTAGGTACGTAGGTACGTAGGTACGTAGGTACGTAGGTACGTAGATTGATCGATCGATCGATAGATCGATAGATAGATAGATAGATAGATAGATAGATAGATAGATAGATAGATAGATAGATAGATAGATAGATAGATAGATAGATAGATAGATAAGTTTTTAAATAAAATCTTCAGTCTCGGTGATCTGTGTTTTAGTTTTTGAATATGAATTTACCCGAGAGTCGTATCTTCAAAACTATTTTATATAGAGGAGAGGAGAGGAAGAGGAAGAGAGAGAGAGAGAGAGAGAGAGAGAGAGAGAGAGAGAGAGAGAGAGAGAGAGAGAGAGAGAGAGAGAGAGAGAGAGAGAGAGAGAGATTAGGCATGCTTTATTTACCGAGTTGAAAGTCTGCACAGTGTTTGTTACAATTCAGGGCATCCACAACAAGCATTTGAACTCGAAAGAAGTAGCCATCAGGGTTGAGGAACAGCCGATTTGTCTTGTAGAGTCCATTGTTGTTCACCAGCATGGTCACCAAATATGTTCCTTTGTATATCATGACAATATCATGAACAATTCCATTCACCACTTTTTATAAAGAAAAGAGTGGAAAATTAAATGGGATGCAGCCCTTAATTTTACAATGAAGGAAGGCTATTTCTAAAAAGCATTGCAGTATATAAACCACTTTCAGTGTGCATGCAATATTGTTAAAATGCCATTAAGTACTATGCGAATGTGGAAAAGGAAATGTCCTCAGCATTTGGTAAGAGCAGGCTCCAACAGGCAATATCTTTCAAGCACTGTAAAATGTATTTTTCTTATTCCTAGTTTTTGCATGTATATTTTGAGTTGTTTGCAATAAAGCTATGCTAGCAATAGTAAGCCTGAAGCATTTAATCCAACTAAATTTAATAGCAGTCTAAAATGGTACACAATACAGTTAAATTGGATGTTATCTCTATCCCTGATTTTGAAGGGAAGGGAAGGGAAGAAATTCTTCTCTATGGCCCATTGAAATAATTTATTTGGTAGTTCTATGAAACAATTGCTGAAAATGCTTGGAAAAGAAATTATATTTACAAGTAACATGAGTACACAGACTGCATAGACCAGTGGTTCTCAACCTTTTTAATGCCGCGACCCCCAACCGGTCGTAAGTCGAGGACTAAACCGGTCGTAAGTCGAGGACTACCCAACCGGTCGTAAGTCGAGGGCTTTCCCTGCCCGGGAGCACCGCACATGCGTGGTTCCGCCCCCTGCGCCGGCCGAAGCGTAGCTGGCAAGCGGCATCGACGGAGCAGGCCGACCACCAGCTGGCCCAGCTCAAGGGAGGTAAGGCACCCGCCGGAAAAGGGGAAAAAAATGGCGGACAGCTTTGCTTGGTGACCCCCGTGAAATGGTCGATCGACCCCAAATGGGGTCGCAACCCATAGGTTGAGAACCGCTGGCATAGACTATGCCCACCAGTTAACAGGGCAATCTTACCAAATTCACTGCTACAGTAAGCCTCTACTTCCTCACGTTCCCTTTTGCAACCAGTCAAGCATACTTCTAGATTGTCAACATCTGTAATAAAATCAAAATGAACAGACGTATGGGGCAATGCGGAGAGAGAAGAATCCACTTTAATAATTATAATAATCATGCAATGGATAAACTGATCTCTGAAGATTCTTAGTTACTTCTACCAAACACCTCCCTTCGACCAGTCCGCTCCCACAGAGAGGGCCTCCTTAGAGTGCCGTCGGCCAGACAATGCCGGCTGGCGACCCCCAGGGGGAGAGCCTTCTCTGTGGCAACTCCTGCCCTCTGGAATGACCTACCCCCCGACCTACGTACAATTGCGGACCTGCGCCTTTTTCGCCGAGCCCTGAAGGCCCATCTATTCCGTGCGGCCGGCCTGGCGTAGTTTGATTATGTTTTAGTGGGGGTTTTGTATGGGGTGTTTTTAGAACAGGCCTGTTATTTAATTTGATTTTAGAACAGAAACTTGTGTATATTTATCGTGGTTTTTAGTATCGCCTGTTCACCACCCTGAGTCCCGTAAGGGAGATAGGGCGGTATATAAATTTAATTAATTAATTAATTAAATAATAATAATAATAATAATAATAATAATAATAATAATAATAATAATAATAATAATAATAATAATAATAATAATAATAATAATAATAATAATAATAATATGTTTCAGAGACTATCAAGCTTCCAGTATGCAGCAGCTATATCTTAGCTTATTAGAGAACTGCAACTTATAAAAGTAGTCCTTGGTTAATGACCAGTTGCTTAGTGACCAAATTTACAATGGAAACATCCCCCACCCGCACAAGTATTTACAATCTGGTTCTGGAGTTCCCATGGCTGTATGCCCACCCCCATAGTCGCATGGCCCCATTTCATGCTCTTTGCAGCTGGCTTGCTTTTATGGTCTGTTACAATGTTCCATGGTCACATGACTATGATTTACCTTTTCTGATGGTTTCTGGCTTTTTTAACCAGTTTCCTTAAGAAAAATGCCCATAAGAATGTATTGAATAATGGCCGCTACAAAAAAAGTCATAAAATTGGGTCCGATCATGTGGGTGCCTCAACTTAAAACTGTCATGACTTAGAGTGGAAATTCCAAGTTCCATTATGTTTGCAAGTCAAGGACTATTGTATGCCTCTTGTTTCTGAATCAAAAGTAGAACCCCCAAATCCAATATTTTAGGGAAACTCTGAAGGGAGATTGACAGATGATTAAGATTTGCAATTGGTTTTCTGCTCAGACCAAACCACTGTGATTGGCAACCTCTCAATATTAATGAGCAAATAAATGCCTACAAATATTCCTCTTGTCCAAATACCATAGTGAGCAAAGCGCTCCCAAAAACCTTCAGGATCTTCGCAACTTGGCCTTGCTTTCTGTCCTGGGATAGCAGTTCGGTAATTCCTGCCACTACCCCTGTCTTCCATGGGAATGCTTAAAGTGGCACCTTCCCAGCAGGTTCCCTCCTAACATCCAGTATGGAGAGAGAGAGAAGGTACTCAAACCGTGCTGTTTTTCTAATGATTTAAAAGGGTACAAATGAAATAGTTTTGCTACAGCACTGCTTCCTGTCTGCATAGCATCTGAGTTTGTGACTAGAATTATCCCATCTCCCCTGCCCTCCAGGAGGTTACCCAATCTCACAGGTGATAAAGAAGGAAAAAACCACATTATTTTTAAAGACTAGGAAAAAAAATATAAAAGTAATTTGTTAAGTGTAAAAGTTTAAAATTATAAATATATAAATATGCAGTGGATCTGGAATACAGGTAGTCCTCATCTCACAACCACAATTGAGTCCAAAATTTCTGTTGTTAAGTGAGACATTTGTTAAGTGAGCTTTGCCCCATTTTATGATATTTCTTGCCATAGTTGTTAAGTAAATCACTGAAGAAATTAAGTTAGTAACCCGGTTGTTAAGTGAATCTGGCTTTCCCATTGACTTTGCTTGTCAGAAGATCGCAAAGATGATCACATGACTTTGGGACAGAACAACGGTCATAAATATGAACCAGTTGCCAAGCATCTGAATTTTGATCCCATGATCATGGGGATGCTGCAAAGGTCGTAACTGTGAAAAATGGTCATAAGTCACTTTATTCAGTGCTGTTGTAACTTTGAACGGTCAACAACTGAACTGTTGTAAATCGAAGACTACCTGTATGTTGTTGATTGATTACGTGCCATCAAGTCATTGTAGTTTTTTTGCAACCACAGAGGTAGATTTTCTCCATGACAATCTGTCCCTAATCTGGTCTTTCAACAACGTCCCCATCCCCACTGAAACTGAGTCTATATCGATCTTGCCACTGGTTGGCCTCTTCTTCTCTTTCCTTCCATCTTTCCCAGCATCAAAAGCCTTTTCCAGAGATCTGGAGTATAAAGCTGCCCATTTGATGACATAAAGTAGCTAACAAAGAGGTTAAATTTAAAAAAAATCTTGAAGACCACAAGATGACATTGAATTCTTACTATTTCCATAGGTTCTGAGTTTTACTGAACTCAATTTTTCAGGGAAAAATTACAATTTCAAGAGACTGTATGCAAGGAAATATTCCCATGCATAGTCTGATATATAAACTACTGAAGTTTGAGAGCATATACAAATACCTCAGAAATATGGGTCTTAAACGCACAAAGACAAAAGGAATTAAAAGGTAATGCTGCTTCTGCCTAAAACCTGAATCCTGAAGCAAAGCCACCTGCTTCTTTTCCCTTGAGTTCTCCCAGTCTCGGGGAATTAATTCTACCTCTTTAGCAGGAGCACTTAGACATATATACTGCTTCATAATTCTTTACATCAATCTCTGGGGAGTTTACAATGTCAGCCTATTGCCCCCAGCAACCTGGGTCCTCATTTTAGTGAGCTTGGAAGGATGGAAGGTTTGCCCATTTTGACAAATAAGAAATTGGAATATAAATTAATAACTTATTTTTTTTCTGAACTTTTAATGACCTGACCCTAGATATATCTATTTGAAATCCAGCCTTAATGACTTGAGGTAGAACTTCAAAATGGATATTGGATTAAGATCAGTCTTACCATTCATGACACTGTAAACCCAGACACATAATCCTACTCTCCTTACCCATTTTAAAGGCGCTGAAGTCTTTCAGTAAGCTTGGAGTATGTCGGTTTGTGAGCCAATAGGGTTTAGTGATATTTCGGAGAAATCCATGGAGTTTGTGGTAAGGGTTTTTCTTCCCAGCCCGGTTGAGGTGATCCAAGTCACCAGCGTGTTGACCAACATTTGACCCTGTGTTTTTCAACATAGATGCTTCCGCCAGAAGTCTACCTTGGCAGTGGGAATATCCAGGTGGATGGAAGTAAGTAGAGAAGCTGTTAGTAGATTCCGAGTGGAGCCGATTTCTGCTGATTTGGTTCTTTTGACTCAAGTAAGTGGTAGAGAGTGATACCTCATGACTAAGGGAAGGAAGGCCTTTGGCATCCTGAACAGACTGCTTTCTTAAGCCTGTCTGATTCTCCACTGATTTTTTCACATTTTTCCTTTTATCCAAGAGTAGCTGGAGTACGTTTAATGCTTTCACTTCCAAAGGAGTCCACTCATTTTGAGGTAGGAGCTGGTCCTTCGTGTGCTCAGCCCTCTGAATGTAGCTAATGCTGCTACCTCGGAGAGACTTGTTCTGGGAAGGAACGGCACCTCCAGACCCATAAACATCCTTGCTGAAGGTCTTCATGGATTTTCCACCATGAGGCAGTGTCCCTGTGTTCCCAAAAAACACACAAGAGAGCAAAAGAGAGAATTTAAAGGATGAGAACAATAAGGGGTCCTTGGTGCTCTCTGAGATGAGATAAGATCTGATGAGAACAATGACCTATCGTGAGTTCTGAAAGCACACCAAAATTATGGGGCCTTCCTCACTGAACTCTTCCTTAAAAAGACGATTTTAGTAAGAAACTTTGGAAATAAAAGCTATGTTTGTGGGAAGTGGGCTGGACAGGGGAGCAATGAGTGCAGGATTTTAAATGTGAGAATTACCTGTCATTTTATTTACTAATTGCAAAGCCTTTGGATTGGGACAGGCAATATATTTACACCAAGTAAGTACTGTGTGGCTTTTGTGCTTCTGAACTATCTGGATGGTCCAGTATTTGTCAGAATTGGCCCTTTCCTAGACTGACTCTCCTTCGTCTTCCTTGCACAGCACACTGAGATAGTTGAAATAGTTGTTCTGAGAGGTAACACGCTATTGCAATATCTCAAAAGGGGCTGGGGCTGGCTTGATTTTGTGACAGTGCTTCATTTCCAAAACCCAGTCTTAGCCATTAATGTCAGAGTGAAATCTCCGAATCAAATAGCTGCAAAAAGCAATAATCCAGTAGACCAGAAGCCCCCAACCTTTTGGGCACCAGGCACTGGTTCCATGGAGAAAGATTTTTCTGTGGACCGGAGAGGGCATGATTTTGAATGCTCTCTGCATCCCGCGGATAGGGCTTCACTTGTTTGCACGGCCCAGTTTCTGGCTTGCTATGGCCCAGTGCCGGTCCATAGACCGGAGGTTGGGAACCCCTGCAGTAGACAACATACAGTCTCATCAGCCACCTTGATGATTCCTGTCTGGGAGGACTGAGAGTTATGCAACAAATATGGAGGGCAAGATTTGCTTCCCGGTTGAGGAAGATTGCAGATGTAGAGCAAGCACATATCCCGGAGTTGCCCTCCCAGATATGCCAAAAGTTGAAGGTGTATTACGAGGAATGTTCTGGGATCTTTCAGCTAAGACTTCATTTGCTTATTTAAAGCTTATTTCAAAGCTTATTTAAAAGAGGGAGGGGGCAGCCCTGCAGTGGTCACACAGAAGCATGAAGATCTAACATTTTTTTCCTGTTTGTGTTACAAATTAAAAACACAATTTATAAACAAAATTGTTTCTAAAAAAAGAAAACTGGATGTCCAGGGAGCATCCGGGGAGCAGGGTTCACATCATATCCTGGTCTCGTTGTTTAAATGTATCAGACAAACATGATGTTTAATTTTCCCATCCATGGGAACCTTTGTTGAGGTTTGTTGACAATGTCATTTGCGTTATTTAAGGCCTGTCACCAGCTTTGCATGGGTGATGGATAATTATTTAGACTTAAAGGCAAAAGCAGTTGTTCAATTACTCTCCCAAAAAATCGAAGGATCTATCTTGGATCATGTTTATTCAGTTGGCATATTTATGGGTGTGAAATCTAAAGCGAGAATGTTTAAGACTGTACCGCTAATGAACTTGGATTTATGGAATATGCAGCAGGATTCTCAGTTTCTAAAACTACCCTCCATAGATTTCTTTTTTCCTATTTAATCTGTAAATAAAATTTAAATTAATGTCTTAAAGTTTGTCCACTTTCACATAGCTATCCTAAGCAAATAAGATAAATTACAAACTTCTTCAACAGATATATGGTGGGTTTTTTTAAAAAAAAAATCATTGTTGTAGCAAACTATCTTATTTATTTGCAACAAGCATGGGAAAGAGGGGAATCATGAAATATGTTTGACAAAGCATATTTCATGATTCCTTCGGGAGAAGGGCGGGATATAAATTGAAATAATAAATAAATAAATAAATAAATAAATAAATAAAGCAAAGAATGATTATTATGACTACCAGTTTCACTTTCCACACCTCAATTTCTTTAACTAAGTGGACATTACATCTTCAGTACATTGAAGCTGAGATTTTCCCAGGCAGAACACATGGTGGGTGCCTCACTGTAGTCATTCAAACTTTTCTTTCCCACCTGGGATGTCACTTGTCAGTAAATGAAATTCTTGATTCTAAATATATATATATATAAACATATACACAAACAAACCTTACATGGTTGGCTCAGGATTCCCATGGCTGATTCTGATGGTTGATTCAAGTCCACTTCCCAAGTCTCCTGTCTGTTGACTTCATCATTTATTTGTCTCTTTCCCATGACAACAGCTGGTGAGAACAAAGATCGGCTGGTCTCGCCTGTGAAAGCAGAACATTACCATGAAGTGAAGGAAGATTAATGTGAAGATGCAGAGAGTTCAGTGCTGCAGGCAGCTTTGTCACCTCAACATGTTCCTTTCTGTTCATCTCTCCATCCCATAAACCTCCTTCTGCTTTGATCAACCAAGCCCTTCATTTCTCTTGTGCCTGAGATGATCACCGTCATCATCATAAGATTTGAAGGGAGAGATGAAAGATTAGGTTTTCATCAAATGCTGTTTTGTTTATGTTGATGTTACATAAGAGAAGGTTCTTATGTAGGCACTATCAGTTGCCCCATTTATAGCATAAGAGTTATGAGTTCATATTTTATATCTGCCAAGTGTGTTGTGGTGTATGAATCAGAGACAATCAGAACAGCATGAGTTTGTCTTACAGGATTACTTGACTTTAATGAAATACACAGCTGAACTGAAAGAAGACAAACAATTTTCTGTAAGATTTAGGAGACAGAAATTGGGAGACGCCTGGATTTAAGGTACAGTTCAGCCACCAGACACAAACCTTCAGCATAATTTAGATCGCTGGATGGTTGACAGAGAAAAAAATGAGTCATGCCCCGAAATGGTTGGGAAGAAGCCGGAATAAAAGAGTTCAATAATAAGAGTACCCCCAGATATTTCATGGATAACTAATTATCTACTCATTGCCTAATTCGTTTCAGTTAATTACTTCTGGGCAAGATAGAAAAAATATAGTCTGATTTACACTGTTTTAGATTAACCAAAATTGCTTAAATCATTGCTTACTTTATTATTAAATAGAGGGGGGGGGATCTGGGATCTGGATGGTTAAAAATCATGTCACAAAATGAATTTAAGTGACCAGCATCTGAGTTCAGGGCATATTTACTCAGAAATAGGCCTAGTCAAATTCAATAGAGCTTAGTCTGGCGTTGGCCAGGACTGCAACTTTCATCAAATGCAGGAGAGATTAACATTACCCTCCGTCCTCTTTCACAACAGAACACCATTTTTTTTCCCAAAAGTAACATTAATTTATACAGCAGTAATATTATGTGGAATTTGGTTATTCAGTTTTATTCATCTATCATATTTAAGAACCACCCGTCTCCCTTGCATAGGGATGCTTCTGTTTCTTCCTCTCCCTCCCTTTTTACAGCTCAACAACCAAAGGGGAAAATGGTTGCTTTTGACAGCAGTTATGATGCCAGATTAGAAACCGGGGAGACAGTGAGTTCTCGTCCTGCCTTAGACAGGAAAATAGCTGGGTGACCTTGGGCCAGCCATTTTCTCTCAGCCCTAGAAAGGAGGCAATGGCAAACTGCTCATATATATATATAAATTTCCTCTCTCTCTCCCTCCCTCCCTCCTTCCCCTATTAATTGCACGGAAAATCAATTTCTGTCTTATTTGCCCCTTTCCCAATCCAGGTCCCCCTCCTCACCCGAAGAGGCGCCTAACTTCCTCCCACCCGTCTCTTTCTCGTCCCACCTGCCGCCTCTTGCAACCGACCCACCCGGGTTTCCCGAGGGTCAGCTCTCCGCAAGCCGAGCGCACCCCGAAAACACGCTCGGTCGGGGGCTCACCCCCCTCACCGCCTCCGCCCCCTCTCCCCAAGGAAGCTGCGTGGGGCAGGGACGGGAGGCAGCTTTTGGGGAAAGGGTTGAAGCGACGGGGCAGGGGAGGGGGGGGAACCGCGTTCGCCCGCCAGTCGCTCTCTCGTCCTCGGCAAAGCCGCCTGGCGCGTCCACAGGGCGGAGGAGCCGACAGTCCTTCTCCGGGCTCTGAGGAGAAGCGCTGCCCCAGCCCGGGGAAGGGGCGGCGGCGGCGCCTCTGAGAAGAAAGTTGGCAGCGGGACGGGAGGGGAGACAGGGGAGGGTGTCCTTCGCTCGACCTCCCTGTCCCACCTGAGCAGACTTACCTGCCACCTCGGAGGGGGGGAGCGAGGAGGAGGAGGAGGAGGAGGAGGCCAAGGCGAAGCACAGGAGCCAGACAGCTCCGGGTGTCATTGCAAAGGAGAGGCAGTCAGCCAATCTCTCTCCCACTCTCTTTTTCCCTCTCCCTACCTCTCTCTCTCTCTTTTTTTTCCCCTCTCCCTCTCTCCCTCTCTTTCTCCCTCTGTTTTCTTTCTCTCTCCCTCTCCACCTCTCTCTTTCCTCCTTCCCCCTCTTTCTTCCCCTCACTCTTCCCCTTTCTCCCTCCCCCTTTCCCTTTCTCCTTCTCTTTCTCCCTTTCGCTTTCTCCCTCTCCCTCTTTTCGTTCTCTCCCTCTTTCTCTCCCTCTCCCTCCTCTCACTCCCCCTTCCTCTCTCTCTCTCTCTCTCTCTCTCTCTCCCTCCCTCTTTTTCTCTCCCCCTTTCAGTTTTGGCCCTCTCTGCCCGCCCCCACCGCCCCCATGCTAATGAGAGGCATCCTTGGGGAAAA